TTGGGTTTGAAAAATAATGCATTTCACATGTTAAAAGTCACAATCAGGCAAATATAAAGTATGAATAAGTCACAAATGTAAATATAAGTAATAACGTATCATTTTAAAACATCTATTGGGCTATAAATACCGGTTGGTACGAGATTAAATTCATCATAAAGCCCTTCGGGCTTTATGGAATTTAATCTCGTGACCGACCCGTATTTATATCCCGATAGAAGTTTAAAAATGATACCTTATTTCTTAAATACATCTAAACTAGTGAAGATAGAAAATAGATGGTTTTCATGTTACTCTTTTAACACGAGATATCTACATCCATCTGATGAATTAAATATCTAAAAGGCTTTCTGATATCATTGTCAACTACTTTTCAATAAAAATGAAACCGTAAATTTCCTAATGTTGTAATAATATTGGTCATTTGCAAACACTGCATGAAAAGTCGCGTTTAATATAATTTAATAAATTCGTTTACTCCAGTAAATTTCTTGTATTGAATTTAATTTATGTATAACGGTACATTTTACATGAGATATATTGTGATATAATTAAGTACAGTTTTCAAATAAGTATAATCATATTTAATGCAAAATACGTCGAGAATAATATAGTTTAATTGAGAAAATTATACGTTTCGTTTTAGAATATCGACATGTAAAAGTAAATATGCTTATACTTAAAGTTTAAATACATTTTTGGTGTTTTGAATATGTCATAAATAATTCTTTATACCTTATGTTGAAACATTTTTGAAAAAAAATATTTATGCACCCTATTTATTTTAATGTATTCATTTCTCATTTTTATTTATTTAACCCTTCTGTAGATTTTTCAAAACTGTGGAATATAACTTAGTTTTTTCTCTATCGACTACTAATGTAGTAAAATTACATCGGGATCGAAGTCGGGCTCGAAAAGCAATTACTTTAAAAATAACACACCGCGCCGAAATTCAATTTTTTGGAGGGTTCCACACAGCCATGTTGAACTTGATCATGATGTTGTACGGGAGGAAGGGGCGAAAGAGAGTGACGCTAAAAGGAGAAGCATAATTAACTTTGGATGGAATTTATGTTTTAACAGAAGATGAAGACATTTACATGTACGACCCTGTTTAGCGGTAGGAACAATGTACAAAATTTTATCACGTGTCCTTGAATGAATAATTGCCTCTGCTACTGATAATGTTACTGTTCCTTAGTCTGGGCTCTACACATAAAATGCCTGGCAGTAAAAACGTTTGGGCAAGCGCTATTTAAATTTTGTAATAATTATTTAACACTTTTAATCATCTCTCTTAAAGATGGATTTTAACCAGAATTTTCTCGTTTGGGATTGGTTTCAGAATTTTAGTCACTAAAGTGTTCCTCTGTTCAGCATTTACAGAGTGTGTTGTACAATGTAATAAAATATTTATTTATTTCTTAATGCATACTCAAGAATATATTCAGCACTCATTTTGATTATTTAAATAGTTGCAGTGTGGACTGTGCCTGAGACGATTCCCCACAGCGCCGGCTATGTAGACAGCTTGTGAAAATAGTGAGAACCATGCAGCTCAAATTTTTAATTAATACAAATTGAAATAAACTAACAATGTTTTTATTAACTTGTATATTTTAGCATAGCGAAGACTATGAAAAATATTGCAACAACTTGAAATGCTATATACCAAGTAAACAAGATGAGGTTTATATTCTTATTTTCCTTATCCTAAAAATACAATAGCAATGGATTCTGAGCTATGCATAATTTTTTTACATTAAATATTTAAGCATGAATTATTAAAAATAGTTATCATATTCTATGATGCACAATTATGCATGCATTACTTACAGGAATCCAAATGCTCACAAGAAATGACAAAAGCAGCATAAAGATTAACACAAAGGTAAGATTTCTTAAATTTTCTGATAAGATCAATAAAATCACATGAATTGATTTTTTTTAGCCCACCTGAGCCATTTTAAGACCCGAGCGAGTTTTCTGATCTGTGTCTGGTATCCGTCTGTCATCTATAAACTTTTCAAATTTTTACATTCATGATAATTATTCCTAGTTTGAACAAAAAACCCTGCAAGATACATCTTTTCTTTCAGAAATTGTGCCAGAAAAGTTTGAAGTAGCTATGAGAATGATCAACATTGAACTTGCTGAGCCTTCCTTCTGAAAGTGACTTGACCAGATATTTGGCTACCAAGTATGAGGTACGAACTAATCATTTGCTGTACAACTTATTGTGTATGAGATTGCCACCATTTAGTGGAACTTTGCATTTGCTGTCCACTTTAAAAACCTGCTATTTACAGTGTAAGTTGTTAATATATTTTACTTTATGTTAAATCACTTGCTCATCATCCCAATAACTTGCATGTTAGATGCTGTAGATGCTAACCTTAGCATTTTTGTTTACTCTTAAATTCCATGTGTTCCGAGTATGTACATCCATTTCATATCATGTTTTGTCTTCTTTAAATTTAATCTAATACATATCATAATATGTACTAGATCACAAAGTTTAAGGATTTTATTATTGTATGAATGTTATCTACTTGCTCTAATCATAAATACAGCTGTTTGCATATTTTTTCTACAAGATGCCATACCTGCTTTTAATTTTTCATAATTTTTTTTATCCATAGTATCTTTCTGCTACATTACATAAAATATCGTGGAGGAACACGAAGAAAAGGGCTGCGCATCTCAGCATATTCAAGGTCAAGCAGGTAAATACATTGGTAAATTGCTCAAAAAAAAGTCACAAGTCCCCAATTTACATGTACTTCCACAAAATCTGTAGCTTGCTGCTGTGAAACTATATTTACGTGTGTCTTATTATGTTAAATGCTGTAAATGCTATTCTTTGCATTTTCGTAAACTTTGTAAATCTTCAAATTCCATGTGCTCGGACTACGGTACCATTATGTATGTTTCATATCATATTTTGTCATCTATAGATTTGATCTATACATATAATTATATGGTTTTTTATGCAATTTACTTAACTAGATGACACAGAGAAGTTTTTTTTATTCTGTAAAATGTTATCTTCTTGCTTTAGTCATGTTAGTCATAAGTATACCCTGTTTGTATATTTTTTTTTCTCCTTTTTTGTGTATTCTTTCTACGGAGAGCCATACCTGTTATTAATTTTTCATATTTTGTTTGTGACAGCTTTTTACCATATCCTTAGTATCTTGCTGCTAAATGAAAGAATTATTGTGGAGGAGCAGAGAAAATGGCACCTCAACATGTTCAAGGTCAAGCAGGTAATCATAGTGGAAAATGCTTAAAAAAAGATGGCGAAAAAATCATTAGTCCCCAATTTACATGTATAACAACATTAGCTCCAATATCTGTAGCTCGCTGGCCTGAAATTATAGATAATTATCTGTCTTTATTACCCAGACTTGAAAAAATGACATATCTTTTGTGGTCTTCTGTAAATATTTTAATTAAGCAAAATTGAGCTGTGTTTCCTCTAGGTCAATTGGTAATTTTACAATCAACTCAGATTTTGTGAACTATTTAATATATGCAATTGCATAAATCAGGAAGCACACATATAATATGTATATATAGGCAAATGGGTATTTATTTTTATGTTTGTTGTAGAAATTAGGAGCTAGATGTGCTTCTCCAGAGCTGAAAACTTCTTGGCATGAAGAGAAGAAAAAACAAGAAGCAGTTTTAAATATTGATTACGTCTTCATAGTACAAAAAATGATTCTAAAGATAATACTATCTATGAAATTAGAAAACTGAAGTTGCGTTCTGATGAATGTAAGAAATAAAGTCTTCAAAGAACAGGACACCAAAAGTGCCACTCTCAAATCAAAGCACTCTAAAAGGCAGAGCATAAGAAGAACTAGGACAAATAAAGAATCTAAAAGAGTCAAACCTTTGGATGTAGTAATTGAACAGAGATGGGCTATTAGAGATGAAATATCTGAGTTGCTACTGTTTTGCACAAATGTGATGCTTTTTTTACTTATCTTTAATTGACACATTCAATGTTAGATAAGAAAAATATACCTAGTGTTGTATTTTTGACAGTGACATTTTTTTTCTGATACTTGATTACAGATTAAAACTGTTAAGTTTTTTATTGTTTAAACATTTATTGGTTTGTTGTGTAATCTGCAATCACATACATTTTAATCTTGATTTATATATTACATATATGTACAAGTCTAACTTAAATAATAAGTGCATGGATATTATTGTGGGAAAAAATAAGACAATCAAGGGTAGTCTGAAAGAGCTTTGCTGGCAGTAAGTTGCAGATCTTGATACCCAAGTAAGAGATAGGTGGTGTCTCTGACCGATCCTTTTGCTGTTGCTTGTGGGCGAGTGAGGCTTCTCTGTCAGTTGCTCAGTGAGTCATAGATGTAAAAAATAAAATAGGCAAATGAGGTAGAGACATTTCTGAGTAAAAAAAGGGTGAATTGTGATTTTAATAAATATTACAATTGATATTGCAAGAGTAATGAGAATTGCAAGAGTAAAATATTTTTTGTTTCCTTCAATTTGAAGTAAGACAGTTTAGGAATTATGAGTTATGGAATTGTAATTAAGGAAATTTGTTAAATATACTTGTACATATGTTTATACAGGACTTTTATATGTGCATGTTTCAGAGCTCATTCTTGATATTTTAAGGCAAAGTTAAAAATATCACTATTGAAATGTCTTGCATCAGCACATATATATCATCCATTATACGCTACTGTCTGTGGAGTATTAATGTCACTCTTTTAATTGATACCAGCTCCGACTTCTATACTCTCTTCCACTACACTCATATTTCAACTATTACATGCTGATATCAAGTGGTGTATTATATACCTTGCTGATTGATATCAGCTCCGGCTTCTAGTAGCTCTTTCACTACATTCGTATGTCCTTATCAACATGCTGCTGTTAATGGTGTTTCTGACTAATCTTCTAGAATGTTATCTGCTCCTGCTTCTAGTCGCTCCTTCACTACACTCATACTATGCTGCTGTCAGTGGTGTATCAAACCTACCTTGTAGATTGATATCAGCTCCGGCTTCTATAAGCTCCTTCACTACACTTCTGTGTCTACCCTTATATGCTGCAATCATCGGTGTATCAAACTTACCTTTTTGATTGATATCAGCTCGGGTCTCTATAAGCTCCTTCACTACACTCATATGTCCACCCTTATATGCTGCAATCAGCGGTGTATCATACTTACCTTTTTGATTGATATCAGCTCCGGTCTCTATAAGCTCCTTTACTACACTCAGATGTCCACCCTCATATGCTGCTGTTAGTGGTATATGAAACTTGCCTTGTGTATTGATATCAGCTTCGGCTTCTATAAGCTCCTTCAATACACTCCTGTGTCCACCCTTATATGCTGCTGTTTATGAAGTTTATGAAACTTACCTTCTTGATTGATATCAGCCCCGGCTTCTATAAGCTCCTTCACTAAACTCATATGTCCACCCTCATATGCTGCTGTTAGTGGTGTATGAAACTTGCCTTGTGTATTGATATCAGCTTCGGCTTCTATAAGCTCCTTCAATACACTCCTGTGTCCACCCTTATATGCTGCTGTTTATGAAGTTTATGAAACTTACCTTCTTGATTGATATCAGCCCCGGCTTCTATAAGCTCCTTCACTAAACTCATATGTCCACCCTCATATGCTGCTGTCAGTGGTGTATCAAACCAACCTTGTAGATTGATATCAGTTCCGGCTTCTATAAGCTCCTTCACTACACTAATATGTCCACCCTTACATGCTGCTGTCAGTGGTGTATGAAACTCACCTAGTTGATTGATATCAGCTCCAGCTTCTATAAGCTCCTTCACTAAACTAGTATGTCCACCCTCACATGCTGCTGTCAGTGGTGTATCAAACCCACCTTGTTGATTGATATCGGCTCCGGTGTATATTAGCTCTTTCACTACACTTCTGTGTCCACCCTTATATGCTGCTGTTAGTGGTGTATGAAACTCACCTTGTTGATCGATATCAGCTCCAGCTTCTATAAGCTCCTTCACTACACTCATATGTCCACCTTCACGTGCTGCTGTTAGTGGTGTATTAGACTCACCTTGTTGATTGATATCAGCTTCAGCTTCTATAAGCTCCTTCACTACACTCATATGTCGACCTTCACATGCTGCTGTTAGCGGTGTATCAAACTCACCTTGTTGATTGATATCAGCTCCAGCTTCTATTAGCTCCTTCACTACACTCATATGTCCACCTTCACATGCTGCTGTCAGTGGTGTATGAACCTTACCTTGTTGATTGATATCAGCTCCGGCTTCTATAAGCTCCTTAACTACACTCATAAGTCCACCCTCACATGCTGCTATCAGTAGTGTATTATACTTACCTTGTTGACTGATATCAGCTCCGGCTTCTATAAGCTCCATCACCACATTCCTGTGTCCATCCTCACATGCTGCTGTCAGTGGTGCATCAAATCTACCTTGTAGATTGATATCAGCTCCAGCTTCTTTAAGCTCCTTCACTACACTCATATGTCCAACCATATATGCTGCTATCAGTGGTGTATAAAGCTTACTTTGTAGATTGATATCAGCTCCAGCTTCTATAAGCTCCTTCACTACACTCATATGTCCACCCACACATGCTGCTGTTAGTGGTGTATCAAACCAACCTTGTAGATTGATATCAGCTCCGGCTTCTATAAGCTCCTTCACTAAACTCATATGTCCACCCTCACATGCTACTGTCAGTGGTGTAGAAAACTTACCTTGCAGTTTGATATCAGCTCCGGCTTCTATAAGCTCTTTCACTACACTCATATGTCCAACCTTACATGCTGTTGTCAGTGGTGTATCATCAAACAAATATTTGTTTTTTTTGTTTTTCATTTTTATATCTACAAACTTGATTAAAATGTTAAGTCTCCAAATCACCACTGTAACAACTCAATAGAAATAAGCGGTCATGTTCAAAATCAGACCGACTATTTTCCTGTTTTTGATTTGTTGTATCACAAATGGAGTTTGATAAAGATAATTTGACTGTTGCAATATATTTTTCAATGTTATTTTCTCTTTTTTTTTGCTTCATATATTAACCTGGGGCTAAAGGAATTCCAAAACAGTTCAATCTGTGTTTCTTTGTGTAATTCAGTTTGTTTTAAAATATAATATAGGATTCGACTGTGTCCGTAGTAAACCACCCAACTGATAACCCTCACACTGTATTTTATTTCACTATCATCAATCCTCTCATTCACCAGTACCTCCTGTCTGCGCCATTCCCTGCTCCTCTCATCCCACCTCTCAATCTTCTCCCTCACACGCTCTCCTTTACTCACAGCCTTAGATGCATCTTTCTGTTCTGACAAGAATAAAGCCTTTAACTCAGTGTAGGACTTTGTCTCTAACACCCCAATAAAAGCCTGACACACCTTAGGATGTTTCAAAACATTATTCATAAAAACATCATACAGCTCCATATTTTCTATGTCTCTGTACAAACGCTCTGCTAACATAGAGTACTGATCCTCTCTTAACCTAAGACTGAGATCAAACAAATCCTGGCTTAATGTTTCATGCTCCTCACCACTAAACTCTTCATTTTCAACTTGTTTACATTCAACCTCCAATTCTCCTTTACATTCTTGTATTTTCACGTTATTAGCAATGTAACCACTGCTAATATATTGCAAAAGAAGATCTGGAAACTGAGAACCAAAATGATATGAAAGGATTTCAAAGACAGAGTCATGAATAATGGTGTACTCAGTACCACAAAGTTTTGTGTAAGTCCCCTCCATAGCTGCCAATGCTTTTACAAATTTAAATGCATCAGTGTTTCTTTCAACTTTACAACATTCTAATAATTTTGATTTCATCTCCAAGAAAACGGCGTTTCCAGTGTTTTTCAATATTTCTTTTGATAGTTTATTGTCATTTAACATGCACAAAACCAATGTAGCATAGCATAAACTATTTTGCACTTGCATTTTATCACATTCGTCTAATATACATTCAGCTGGACGGGTAAAGAACCTTTCAACATTTTTTCTAAATTTCTTTACTTTTGAATATAGTTTACACAACAGAGGAAACATATCCAATGTTCCTCCCAGTAGTGCAGGGGTCAACAAATCTCTATCCAAGCCGTGTTTCTGAAGGATCGCTTTTTTATCTTCATTGTTCAATGCATTTTTGGAACTATGCATCTTAATTGTGTTATTTTCATTTGAGAAAAATGATTTGTAACATTCATTAAACACTGCTTCCCTACATGAGATTAATACCTTTGTATTTCTATTGGACGGATCTGAAATTCTTTTTTCAAGGTCTATTAATGATTCTAACTTTTGTTTTTGCAGACCTAAAACACCTACCACATCATCAATGACAAAAACCTGTGGATGACGAGAGTCACAATAATCTTCAATCTTCCTGATGTCTATAATAGGTACTTCCACGTATCCTTCTTTTTGGAGTATCAGGGCTATGTGATGAATCGTTGCTGATTTTTCTGAGCCTGGGACACCGACAAATGTTGCTTTCTGACTTGACCCAACATTGCAGAAAAACTGTGGCTTTCACTGTAAACCCCATCTTCCTCTTTCCATTGAATGAGATCTTTTTCAAAAATATCTATAATAAATAGTTATAGCGAGTTATTTTATAATTTTTTCATCTTGTCAATAATGTAATTACCTGGCTTTCATAGTCATAAAACGTTTAACAAGGAAAAATAAGCAAATGCCTAACAAAGTATGGTGTACATGGCACTACATGCTTGTGGTTATTTTAAGAAAGATAAGTTTGCAGGATTGAATTTGAAGAAATGCTGTAATTTATGGATTTCTGAAGAATTTTAAAAGTTTTTAAATTTGAAAATCAATTATAATTTAACCATAAATTACATAGTCACCTAAATTTATTAAACTTTCTAATGTTAATTGATAAAGCCGATTTACATGTTAAAAAATATCCATATTTTCATTTTCACCTGCTTTCATCTAAATTATATCTTTAAAGAAATTTTCTATCTGAATTATGATATATTTGTTTACAAATGTTAACTTATTGTGAATCCATTGATGTATAATTCATAAAATGAATAAAATAATTGGAAGTCCCACATTTTAAACTTTAAAATCTGAAATGCATTCCTCCTACAGTTGGAAAATGCTTGGTATTGAAACTCGTAATAGGAAACAAGATTGTTCTGAAAGCAACACAAAAAGGTATCAATATTCAGTTTAACAAAAAGAGGTAAATTAGGATCACTTCAAAATTAAAAATTTTATAATAGAATTCTTGCATCAAAATTATTTTTTTTTAATTTTTATAAATAATTAAAAATTACATAATTTTTGGGACATTTTTTATATTTAAATTTTTCAAATCAGAGACAAATATGTTCGTTTGTTGTTTAACGTATTCCTTTTGAATTCGTCACTCATTTCGTGACGCAACCACTTGTTGGTGGATGGCTGTAAAATAAAACCTATACCAGGGCCTTTAAGCAGTGAGGGATCTTTTGCGAGCGGCTGAAGAAGTCTTATCGGACCAGTCTCTATGTCCCGTGGTGGATTAGAAACCGGGACATAAGGATCAGCTTTTTACGCCATGACTCTACAGCAGACACTCTAACCACTGAGTCATGCAGGCGACTGAGACAAATAATGTTAATCATCAAGAAAAAAATAAATTCTTTTACATATACCAAAGCAAAAAAATGTTGATTTTATAATATCTTATTCCTTGCACAATTCTGAAGGTAAAAAATAATTAATTCTGATTATGTATTTTAGAACGTTTATTGCCACCATGGAAATATAAACCATTATAATATATATACAGCTCCAAGCACTCTTTAAAAGCACAAGGGTTTTCGCACAAATTAAGGTCACATTGTTATGATGCAATATTGTGTTATGTAACGACAAAATATATTCTAGAAATAATTTATAACTTAATTTTGATTATATTCCATTACTTTAAACATAATTCACAAATAATAATTTGTAGGATTTTTATACACTCGTCAATGATATTTTATGAGAGTTTCCAAATGTTTTTTTTTCATTGTTTCTCGTCAAATACAACCACCTTTGTATCCGTTCATGTTAAAGCATACTTTTGCCTTGCCTTAATAGAAAAACAATGCAATTTTTTGTAATTTCTGTATGTTCTGTACATAAATATGACACTAAGGCTCAAGATGATATAAGTATTTCTCATCCGTTCGACTGCTTTCCATGTTAAAAAGATGAAATTTTAACTTCCTTAAATGTAGAATCTCGAAGAAACCTTCTTACACAAAATTAAAAATTTTCAGACCATAAATGTAAAACACTTTTCTTTACAATAATTACAATCTTCTATGCTGAGAGATAACCAGCACTTTTTTAAAATATCCAATCCTTTTACATGATTTCTTTACGCAGTTTTGTCATTTTTCGGCGCTGCATTTCGACAAAAGCAAGGCAAGTATGAAAAATGTGCAAAATACCTAGAAATGTACTTATTTGCAAGAAGTCAATTTGAACATTTCAACCAAATAGTATCAAAAAAGTTCAGTTAATTAATTTGTAAATACCTATGATAGAATCATGAACATTTAACATCATACAATTTATAAACAAATCATTTTTAGGAACATTGACTTTTAAAACTTAAGATAATGATTGTATAGACAATGCACCTTTAACATGAAATATTCAATAATATAACGGCTGTGTCGCGTACTGAAACTCGATAATTTTAAGTTTTATTGCAAGAAAAATGTTATTTTAATTTGTGAAAAAAACCATGTGAGTTTAAAAAGTGTATTGAGCTGTACAAAATGTGGTTTTAACTGAAAAAAGTAAAGGTTAACTAACTTTGTGCAAATTATTTCACTTTGCCAGGTTTTTTTTTTGAAATCACCAACATACCTCTGACATTCGGAGGGATTACAGACTCTGGCGTTTTAATTTCATCTGAAAATAAAAATAATATGTGACTTTTTTTACGAATATTACTTTCTTTTTATTTATTTTATTTTATATCAAAAGGTATATTAAAACAGATTTGGGCTAAGTCTTGTCACTCGTCCGACAAAATACATGTTGCCATTGAATCCACTCCATAAATTATACAGGGACAATTACAAATGCGCATCCACTATATTTATTTTTGGTAGGTGTGGGTGGAAGTGCTGTAGAGCACAGGCACTTGTTTCAGAAATTTTTTTTAACCTATAGTATAATAATAACACAAGGTATCTAGCTCCGAAATACACTCAGTACACCCCTCCTCAGAATAGCACTCATTTCAAATTTTAGCGGAAATGCAATGGCAATATGTTTATTACTAATGTCGTCTACGATAATTTATCTACACAATCATATGTGGCATGCATATCTCTGTTTTCGTTTATCTCCGTAAACAGCGTCAAACCCCTGCTCGCCGAATAGAAAAGTCAAACTACTCCATAGAACGGTATGTGCTAATCACGCACAGAGGTTTTGATTGGCTGAAATCTGCCTCTAAAATTACATCGAAAATATGCTGTAGTGGGTTATGGAAAATGAGACAAAATCAATTTTTTTTATTGAATGCATTATTTAAAATCTAGATTTTTTTTAACCCACTCATTTTTTAATTTTCTTTTTTACCCGAGATTAGCACATACTGGGGTAGTTTGACTTTTCCACTCCGTGACAATTTAATTGAGGATATCTTACTGAATCATTCTTTTAGTTATACACTAGTGGATATAAGCATCACCTAAATAGGCATAGATTAGAAACAATTAAGTATTTTTAAATACCTCGAGATACCTTAATTCGGAAAAGTCGTACCGAACTGCTTTGAGGTTCATTTATCTAAATCAAGGGTGGCGATATTTAAAACGACACTAGATTAATATGATGGCGGATCATCGATTGGCGCATTTGCCGCTTAATACTTTCACGCTGTTTTATCTGTTTTAAAAATTAAAAGAGGTTGTGTAGTTGCCTGAAGCCATGTGCACAGTGAACAAACTAATAAAATTGCACTTATCATTTAAAAAAATACAATAAGGATTGATATTACTTCTTTTTTTTAATTTTGAAATCAAAGAAGAGTATTTAGATGCATGACTTCAATACCTGTTTCATTGAATTATA